TCTCTCTCTCTCTCTCTCTCTCTCTATATATATATATATATATATATCTCTGTCTCTGTCTCTGTCTCTCTCTCTTCACTCTCTCCTCTGTCTCTCTCGCTTTCAGCTAACAGCGCGCGCGAAACAGTCCCTTTTGTTATAATATGCGTGAGCAAGCGAAGTAGACGACGCTTCTGAGGCGCCTCTCTCGCCCCGACCACCTTATATACGTAGATCTCACTCAGCTGATTAAACGCCCCTCGCACATGCACGTGCTTGCGAACCACCTCTTAGCATGATACGATAAAGGTAGAAGGGAGCTGCGCCTAACATTGGGGGCCCGATACCAGTTGAGTCTTGGAGAGGGAAAATGCCCATGTAGTGAATTATGTTGTTGTGCTCCGTGGATAGGCGCGTGGGATCGACGATACTTACGAAGAGTTGAGCCCACTTGGGGAATAAGATAGAGGGAGGAACAGAGAGACCGATTGAGAGGAGAGAGGCGAGAGATGGGGACCAGTTCCTCCTTGTACCGAAGAGAAACTGGTTCTGTATCTTTACTTTACTCCACCTCCTTCTCTCTTTCTTAAAACCTCCCATCACACACCGTCTCTCTCTCTCTCTCTCTCTCTCTCTCTCTCTCTCTCTCTCTCTCTCTCAATCTCTCCCTATTTTTCTCATTTCTTTATCTATGTAATACAAACTACCATTGGTATGCGTAACAGATTTTTACAAATAAACCACTTGTAATTTTTGCACTTAATATTCCTTGCAACTAGTTCTTAGTTGATATATTTAACTACATGAATTTACTTACGTTTCGTTAAAAAGTATCATGTGATAAAAAAAAAAAAAAAAACAAGAATTTGTAGAAACCCGATTATAGTGTATATAGAAGAAGTAGAATAACTTTTTAAAACAATTTTCTTAAAGAAATAGGATTGATTTGAAGATATATATTCGATTTAATAAATATATTGATAAATTAATTGTAATACAATGACTTTTACTTGATAAAATATTTCAATATAGAAGTTGTAATAAAAATTTTATATTGTGCCATAAAAAGTAATTGAATTTACAAAAATTGAAATTATTATAATTTAAACAAAATTATGTACATGCGTTCTGAAATAATTAGTCCTACCCTTTATTTCATAATAACTATTTATATAAAATATTGTTTTTAGTATAGGTTATTTTGAAAAATTGTTTTCCATTAAAAATAATTCAGATTAAAATATGCATTATTCACAGTTGTCATGATTTTCAAATAATCATTATAATAACTATATAAATTTGTTATACTATATATAAAGTCTTTTCAAGAAATTTAATAATTATATTAAATACAGTGATAATAATAATAATAATAATAAAATATTAAATATTTGCAATTCAATTGTAATTCAAATTTAATTCTAACCTTTCATATATTTCAATAATATATATCAAAATAGATTGTAAGTAATTAACATTACAGTATCTTTTATAACAATGGATTAATAAAACAGGAAATTTAACTTTAAAGAAATTTATTAAGAGTCATTAATGTAATGAAATATAATATAATAAGAAGTTATATAATTAAATAATATTATATTATGCCGGATACAATGATTGGTTTTAATTTTGAGAGAAATCAGAATTAAGATTAATATTTAAAAAATTTTGTTTAATAAACCTAATAAATAATAATATTTATCTTATTAAATAATTGAACATATTTATCATGATAAATTATATTTTACAACTTACATTACTAATCTCTATTATTTTTGACCAATAATGTAAATATATATAATTATTCTCAAAGTGAGAAGCTGTTATAAAATGATTTACGTCTCGAAATATTTGCTCAATTAATTTGCTTATTTTTTAAATACTTAATAAAGAAGTTATTTACCGTGAAAAGTGATAGGTTAACTTATATATATATATATATATATATATATATATATATATATATATATATAAATATATTTATAAAGTTAAAATTCAAATATTGAAGAAGATTTATGTAAATAATTGTCATAATCAATCAAAATATGTTCAATCAACATATTTCTGTCGAATTTCAATCAAAATTAATTCATATTTTACACATAGTACACCTGTATATCTCAGGATGTACTGCAAAAATTCGCAAATTATGTTTTTTATTATAAAATTTTTATAAATAATAATAATTGTGCATGTATGTGTAATATAAAAGTATTTCCAAGTGATAATTGCATGCAGTAATTATGTTACATAAATTCATAACAAAGCAACTGAAATTTATTATAGTATGAATAAGAATAATACCTGATATATAGATTTTTTGTTCTTAATCTGTACAAAATATCTATTATTTACAGAACACATACAATTTTTCTATCACAATGATAGATTAAACTAAAGTTTAATCGCGTTATTAAATTCAAATTTCCATTATTAAATACTCGTTCAAAATCTAAGTTCACTTCAATGGTTCTTAGAATTATCTATATGTTAAATATCACATTAATTTTATCAAAAATCTTATAAGAAATTTTATATAAAAAAAATTAATACACACTTTTAATTAATTAAAAAAAATAGAATAATTAACATTTACATATTGTTGAAAAAAAAACAAAATATTTTTGTTATTTATATATAAGAATATGAACTAAAAAGTTCATATTTTATATAATTCAATAAGTTTCATTCTAAATAATTCAAATAATAAATTAAATAATATCTATTTAATGTATACGTTTATGGATAATCCATGACTTTACTTTCATAATAAATGCAATAATCATGAAAAGTTTTATTTTTGATATGTTAAGAACTTATTTAATACGATTAATTATTATTTCATTATACACTTCCTATTAATTATTGTATTATTTGTATCTCATATTAATACATATAATAACATATATAAACATATAGAATACTCAAATGATCTATTATATAAAAATTTATTTAAGAATAAATGTAATTGCATAACAGAACTTATTACATATAGTTGAAAGTCACTTTCCGAAGACTATTGTATTTTAACTTATTTTTGTTTAACAAACTTTTTATTATTTTTTTTTTATATTTAAAAATAATGATTCCTTAACATAATCCCTCTGCTATGAATATCCAAAATTGAAATCCTCATGTAAAAGTATTCATATACGATGATAGAAATATAATTGTTCTTGGATTTATAATTAATTGAAGAAATGTTCTTACTCTAATAATAGAGTTAAGCTCTATTATTTGAATGAGCAATTATTTCAATGAGATAATTGAAATTGAAATGAAAATAGAGAGTATTTACAAGTATCGTTCTATAATTTGTTCGACTTTATTTCAAACTACTGTTCATTAAAATAATATCCCTTATACATCAATGAATATAATAGTGTATTTTACAGTACAGTAAAAGCTTAGAATATTTATTATGATAAAAACTACTTTATAATATATATATATATATATATTATAAAGTAGTTTTTATATAATATATATATATATATATATATATATATATATATATGTTACAAATGAAATACTTTCAATACTTTGTTCAATAATAATTTCGACTATTATACTCTGCTGGCATATAATAATATGAAATTAACAATAGTTGTACTTCATTTAGAAATTTCCAGGCTTTGTTATTTATTGTATATATATATATATTGTTTTAACTTGTTGCCATGTGAAGCTTTTATAAATAAATATAGAAATGTCAAATGAAATTTGAGTATCATATTAGGATGATGCTCGTTTCTTATTAACTATAAATAAGAAAAGTTGTGTATTTTTAACCTTTTGTCATTCCAAGTCATTTGAATCTTATGAACATATTGAATAAAATTTTTTTACACATTATATTTTTGCACCTAGGAGCAATTATACATAATTAATAAAAAGCCATAGAATGGAAAATCATCACATATTGTCGTTTTTACGAAATCAATTTATGAAATCGAGCATCTAGTATAAAGTGATTATAATACGTTTGCTATTTATTATTCGTCTCATTTAAGTCAATGAATAATAATAATAAAAATAATAAATAATCGACTGAAAACCTAGAATACTCTTGTATATTCTCGTCATCGTCACGAGTCCAAGACCAACATTCTCAACGGCGAGCGGTTTTAGTTCCGGTCGTATATTTACGCGCAGATCGTAACGCACTTTTTCATCGGCCGATGAATTTCTCCAAACCTAATAAAACGAAGCAAAGTCTGCATTCCCGAGCCCCGTACGACGGGAGTCGACGTGAGAGTCGCATGGATATGCATATCGCAGCCAGGTGGATTCATTCGCGATAGGCGGAGGTGCGTCAGGGCGCCTACAGGAACTCGCACGTCTTGAGTTGCCGAGTCGCGAGAACGGTGTCACGGATCTGGAGCACGACTTCGTGCTTCTACGCAGGCCTTCGATGTGCCTTATAGGCGTGGAGATTTTTATCCCCGTACAGCATTTTTATCCGCGTTCTCCGTCAAACTCGCTTTTGTTTCTTGATTTCACTGAGGCACTTACTTACACGCACGGATGCCTGAGATGTCACGGCACCGCACGATTGTCAAAGGAGAAATTCGTCGAGAAATTAGTTATTCGTGAAACTGTTTGCTTTAATTATTGAAGGCTCGCGTGCACTTATAGCAACTATACAGCGAAAGGTTGTATTTTCATTTTTAAATTCCAATAGCCATTCTCTTGAAAATTTTAAGAAATTTGAAAACGACGCAGTTGCGCCTGATGAAAAGTCTCATGCACAACTATTCCATTGACAGCGAATAGTGCAAATTTTCACGAACATTCATGATAAATTTTGTTTTAAAATATTATTAACTTGACGTAAATTTTACTTTTACTAGTAGGAACTGTCGGTATTGAGATTCTTTTTAGTGATGGGTTTAAAAAATTACATTGTTTTAATTAAAGATAATAATTAAATTAAGACGTCATATTTCACTCATTTGATAGAAATATAT